TAGGGAATCCTCTGAAGATGAGGTACGCGGCACATACCTTCATTTTGTTGTGCTGTAGACTCTAGTTAGAAAAATGCTGGGAACTAGGAGGGAGAAGATGGAAAGGTCTAATTAGGGTAGTATGGGCTTTTAAGAGGGAGATGACAATGGAGGCATTGATAGTGATTATCATGATAGTGGGAGCTCTCTGAATCCCATCAGGGAGTTTAAGAGAGCGATTCATTTGAAGATGAGGTTGGTGCTATTGCTGCTGTTTTAGAAGATAAACATTTCATTGCTATTCCTATTTGTTTGTAACCCTTTAGGTGGCACCTCAAAATACAATAGGAGATGTTGCATTGTAGTGGTATAGAAAATGAGATGCATATTTGATATGAGATTACATTTTGTTAGATTTTTCGGTGGTAATTACCTGGAGTTAAAGGAGAGAGACACCTTGGAGTTACCTCGCTTGGTGAGGTCTAACTCATTTTTTTCATTCATCTTCTGCCATTATATAGCAGAAATCACTTAATACATCAACATTACTTTTCTCACCTAATCTTTACCTAATACAAGAAAATCTACTAAACATTTAATGCAAGATTACATTCAAAGATTTGCTGCCATTTGTGTGGCTCAATGTGCTGTGCTTTGCTGCTACTTTGCAGCCTTTCATTTGCATTTCATTTTGGCCTCATTTCATCAACATTTGCAGCTTCGCTTGCTGCACTTTGCTGCTGCTCTTGGTGCAGCTCTCCCTTCATTTCATTTTGCTGCCATTTTGTGCAGCTTTCTTTTCATTTGCTGCTCTTGGTGCAGCTTTCACACCACAACTCCAACACATTTACTAGGAAGAAGATAACAAAGAAAGACAATATAAGATGAGTTCTTTTTCATTTTCCTTTAATGGACTACTTTAATTCTCAGGCGCAATAGCTATGGTGTATAATGAGTAGGAGATAGAGCTAACTAAAGAAGACACCAGACTTATTCGTAGAATGTTGAAAGGGCGAAAGGCACCCTCTGCTTAAAAAATTGACATACATAGAAAATTAAGAAGTGCAATATTTGACCAGGTTTCCATAATCATCAATTAAAACTCACAGCCTTCTAAGTCTTTTCTGAGCACATTAACCGTCTTTTTTCCTGTTGGCTCTCTCATATGTTCTATACCTTTTCTTTCCTCAGACTCGTTCTTTTTCTCTTCTTTTATTGCTTCATCCGGTGACTTCTTAAGGAATGCATTGTCCTTCTTGAGTTCATCCACTATCTTCTTCAATTCAGCCACTGTCTTCTTTTGTAATACAATCTTTCTTGAGTTCATTCAAAGATTTTGCCTATGCAACCCAATATGTGTCTTTTTTAACCGAAATCTTCTTCTTAAGTTCATCCAAAGGCTTTCCCCTCTTAAAAATCGGTTTTTCTTTTCTATTGCAGGAATCTTCTTCTTGAGTTCATCCTAATTCTTTGCCCCTCAACAAAGGTGTGAGAGCTACTTTAGCGTCGGGTGTAATATGGAAGTGTAACTAACACCCACGAGGCAAGTAACTAGCCATATTAATTAATTGTATTTAATTATTTCTTACCTAGTTTTTTCTATTATTTAGGCTACTGGATGCTCTAGTGTATTATTAATTGTAGCAAATGAGAATAATAGTTTACTAAATTGCCTCTTTGAGAAGTAAAGAACTTAGTTTAATGTCTTTACCCTTATTTAATATAATTATAGATTCAAATAATTCAATTGATCATTTTCTCAAAATAAATAAATAAATCTTTCTTAGAATATTTCTTTCTCTTTTTGGTTTCTAACAATTTTGAATCACACAACTATTGCAAATTTTAAAACATGATAGAACAAGGGCAAAAATGATAGGCGACACAAATATTTGGAATTGGCCACTATGTTGAAGAACCGAAGTATAATTAATTTTAGAGTATCCTGTACTTTCTTAATAAAATTAGTATTCTTTTTGTTGATAAAAAAAAAATTGGAATTATTATGGGTAAGATACATAGGTATGAACATTTATATCTAGTATTTTATTTAATACTTAGCAAATATATATATTTTTTATATAGCCAGTATTTAACCATTTCTTTTTTATTAATAAATACTACCTCAAGATACTCATCCCTAAACCATTGTTTTTAATTAAAACCAATTGGAAGTTAAGCTATTTTGACCTTTGATTCTCAATTTTAATTGTTCAACCCAATTAAACTAGATTAACTGTTAGTCGATTATTTAACTAAAATATATATAAAAGTTATATGGTCACTTCATATTTGATCTAGTGATAAAAGTGGCATCAGGTTTTAAAATGATTTGCATTCGAATCTTAACTGTGTCAATTTTATTTGTTTATCTAATTTATATTATAATAAATATATTGACAAGTAACAAAGCTTAATTATGGCGCATCCATTTTAATAACTTTGTCCTAAACCTTTGAATAATTTTTTGCAATTCTGTTAGGCTCAAATGACGATCTGGACAAATTTGAGGCAGATCTAATGCCCTTTTTAGTGATGTAATCTTTTCGTTGAATGCAACCACTCCCGTCTTGACGTTAACCAGAGACTGCTCCGTCTTCTTGATTCCATCCAAAGACTTCTTCACCAGTGCAACCTAATTTGTCTTCTTGTTGAGTTCACTCAAAGACTCTTCTGCCAGTGAAGATCGATCTGACTCTTCCATTGTCGAAAACTTTTGGAGTTTATTCAATTCCACCTCCAGCATATTCTCATCCTCCTCCTTGATTTTTAAAAATGTCTTCTCTTCTAATTCAATCTTATTTCGGATTTCATCCAAAGCCTTCTCCACGCAATCCTTCTCCACCCAATCGACTTGTTCTGAAGCCTTATCCATCTTTCCAATAACGGAACACCAACTTTGCAGATGTATGATTTTTTCCTTGATTTCTCTAACCAAACATTTCTTGAGTTCTAAAAGTGTCTCCTCCTCAAATTCAATCTCATGCTGGGTTTCATTCAAAGCCTTCTCCACCCAATTGGCTAGTTTTAACTGCTTAAACACCTTTTCTAAAACCGAACGAGCAGTTTCCATACGTCTGATTTTCTTAAGTATTAAAACAGTCTCATTCTAAATCATCATAGGCTACGTGCTCTTCACTGAGTTCCTTCAAAGAATTCGTCACCACTTTGAGTTCCTCCAAAAATCTCTTTGCTACATGAACATAAGATGGCTCTTCTATTTCCTCTAGGAATGACGCTTTTCTCCCTCTGAGTCTTAGATTAGGGTGGGTGGTTTTATCATATTGAACAACACTTCCTTCTGCCTTTGGGAACTCCTCTTGGTTCACTCTATGAGTTTGATTCCTAATTAGGACAGTTTTCTCTTCATTTTCTGTCTTCGGAAACATAGCTTCACTTACTATCTCTCTTTTTGATTAATGGAGGCAACTCCATCTTCCTCATCAACATTTCCTTCCCCCCCCCTCTTATTTGGACTATCATAAATTTTGGGAATTGATTGAACGAGGGCAAAAACGATAGGGAACACACATATTGTGACCTGGCCTATATGTTGAACAACCAAAACATAATTAACTGTTGCAAGGATGAGCTGAACCACAGCAGATATCAATCCAACCTTATCCCAAAAGCTGAAGAAAGGCTTGTCTGGGTAAAGCCAAAGCACCTTACCACTGATCCACTTCCAGCTCCAGGTAACTCCTCCTGTTTTCCCTTTGTACCAAAGCTCAAAAATGCAAAGAATTGACGAACATAATGATAGCAACATTAATATCAACGCATATTGAGATTTAGGCTCAGAGGAAAGCTGGTCAAGTAGAGCAGAAGGGATCTCCAAGATGAAGTTGATGATAGCAAACCCCCGTTCAATAGTAATCTATGAAAAAAAAAAAATCTCATATAGTAATAGATTCATTTATTTTATGAATAAAAAGTATTGTTCCGATTTTTCACACCTGTGAACACCATTGCTTCTTGCATACTTGTGAACACCAAACGCATCCCCAACGAATATATGCGTAAAACGCTGTTCAGAAAAAGAATATATGCCTTAACCGGTAGATATAATGGTTGAGAGAAAAGAAAAAATTAAACCACATTGTTTTAGGCGTGTGGTACAATATATAGACATTAATGAAACTCTCTTTGTCCTCGATAATTAAAGTTCATACCTTGAAGAATTGTGGAACTTATTTGACATTCAAATCCGGTGTTATCAATGATTATTGAATGTAATTGAACAAGATCTGGTGCATCCTTGTTGGTTTTATCTGCCCAAAATTTTGAACATAGTAGAAAAGTGGCAGCAACGATTGGCCACAGAGTTATTTGAATTTGGGTATTGGCATGTTGAACCAGTAGATCCAAATTAACTACTGTAATGATGAACGTAAAGAGAGCAGATGGCAACCCAACAATATCCGCGCCCTGGAAGAAGGATTTGTTGGTTGAAGAAGAATAAAGCAAAGGTATCAGCTTGCCCCTCCACTTCCAGGTAACTGTTTCCCTTTTCCCTCTGTGCACAAGCTCAATGATCCAAAGAACAAAGGACGCAAATGACAGTGACATGAGTATCAGCAAATACAGAGGTCTAGGATTGGAGTTAAGCAGGCCAATGATAGCTGAAAGGAGCTGTAGGATGAAGTTGATGACAACCAACATCTGTTCAGGAGTAATCTACAAAACAGAAAACCTTGCCTGTAATTAGAAAGGGAGATCATTATTTTTAGCTTCTCATTTACCAGTAATTGATTAGTTGTCCAAACACTACTAGTACCTCCGTACGCCTGAACCATCTCTCTGTTGCCGGTGTCTTGGTTCATTATCTGATGTACATATCCATCAACCAGTTAGCAAGCTAAATTACAGAGCTAACACTAAACGCACAGAAAATGTCTAAAGAATCAAACCACAAGCTAGCAAAGGTACGAAATTAATGAAGCTATCCTTCAAATTGAAAATGGGTATATTAAAGTTCATTGAATTAGACAAATAATGTCGTAAAATTACTCTATTCGCAGTAGTTTACATAGATTACTTGAGTGTTTAGACAAATTTAGTAATTAATTTCAGAAGAAATGAACAGATATTAAGTTGCTTGAGACATTCAAAGTTAAAAACAACAACACTGGTTGTGTTGAAATGAACACTGCAAATTCTTACCTTTCAGAAGTGTATTACTGGAATGCTGCTCATCCCAGTCCTCATGGTGGCTACCGCTGCGGAGATATTAATCGTTTAATAATTCAAATTCCAAACCAAATTCATTACGTTAATGAGGAAAACAATAACTAGTTAGAAAATATAAAAGCATCTCTATCAATCACGGGCCAATCCTAATTTCTGGACATCGGCTATATTAAAAAGAAAAAAACACCGCCAGGGAAGCTAATTAGCCTATCTTCTAATCAATGGAAACTAGCCTCAACACTGATGTGAATTAAGAAAGAAAGCATGCTGATTATCCATATGTTTGAACAATTTGAGTTTGAAAAACTTGCCGCGGAATTTGGCGCAGCATCACGTTTTTGTAAAACTTGCGTTTTGAAACGTATAATCTAACGATTTTGCGATTGTAGGTCTCTATTTCGAGTTGAAACGTATGTTGACTCTACTTTCTGTAAAGATTGGTGCTGAATCGCGATTTGAAACGCAAAAACGTTTGAAACGGACGATTTTGACGTTTTTGACGTTTTTGGCGATTTGCAAGGAAATCCAAATCTTATGGCCAATTCTGTAATTTTCTTTAAGATGCATATTAGAATCAACGGCTAAAATCAACCTTTAGTACCTTACCTTACGAAATTGATAGGTTTTACTTTTTAATCTTATAATATAATATTTTTAACCTTTTATCTTACAAAGTTGGTAGATTTTAATCTCCACCTTACAAAGTTGATAGGTTTTAGCCTTTCACCTTATATTATGACACTTTTAGTCCTTTATCTATATGAATTGAAGAAAATAACCCTCACTTAATATCAGGTTATAATATTCTGTTAATTTTATTAGTTAACTGTTAGCATCCGGTAGTATTCTGTTAATAAAACTAACAAATACAATTGAATTTAAATTTTATGTTTTCTATAATAGAATATTAATGGATGTTAATAGTTAATTAACGAATGTTAATAATTAGTTAAGAGAATTAACAAAACATTATAACTTGATATTAGGTTAAGGCTATTTTCTTCCATTTGTATTAGTGAGCGGCTAAAAATGTCACAATATAAGGTAAAGGATTAAAATCTATTAACCTTGTAAGCTAAATGGTTCAAACCTATCAACTTTGTAAAATAAAATGTTAAAAGTATCATATTATAAAATAAAGAGTTAAAACTTACCAATTTTATAATGTAAAAGGTTAAATATTAATTTTTACCTGAATCCACATAGGAAACCAACTACAGCCTTAATGTGTGAAATTGAGCTGAATAAAAGGGAAACATCACTGCGAAACTCACCAACGCATCGTCTTCTCTAGCGCCAGTGAGTCAGTGACTTGGTTCTCTGAAGCTTTGAGTATCCAACTTCGATTTCCAGGCCTTGTATGCGTTGCTTTTTACTTTTAGTTCTTTGCATATATTATTTTAGGATTAACAAAAGATGCGCTTTAATGCACATTTTAAGTTATAATAAATATATATTATAATTAATTTATATAAAAAATTATAAAAATTAATATATATTTTAATATTTTTAATATATAAATAATTTTAATTAATTAATTTAATTAAAATTAAATTTTATATTTTTAATATAAATTAATAATAAAATATATATTTACTTCACCTCTATATCCATAACTTAGAGGCATGAAATAAAAAAACTCCCACTATTTCATTTCACCTGTCTTTTAGCACTTTATATGTAGTGTTAGTTTTAGCCTTCTGTTTTGATCGGATCTTATTTGCTGTGAGAGACCGAAAGTGTGGAATATATTATTTTCTTTATTATTATTATTATTATTATTTTATGTCACTTTGTAATTTGTTTTCATAAATTATTAATTTCATGAGAATTTTTAATTTATATTTTAAAAATATATTTATTATATTTTTTAATTAATTTAAATTAAAAAAATTTATTTTATCAATTATTTAATTAAAAAACTCATGTGATATTAATAATAAAATAAAGTTAATTGTAGGACGCCTTGGCCAAAAAAAAAAGGTTTAATTTAGATTTTCATAGCTTTCCACGTGTAAATCAATCGATTTTGTTTGTTGTAATGGGCAGAGTATTTTTGTACTTTATTTTGATACGATCCCTCTCCCTTGCTGATCCCAAAAAAAAATTACGGTCAACTATGTTAATTAAGGGTATGTTTGCTCAGTTTTTAAGTGTTTCATATTTTTTATATTATTAATATTTTATAAGTTAAAATTTTTTTAAAAAATTTATATTTTTAAATTTTTTTAAT